ACAAGCACGACCTGTAAATAAAGAAAGCAAACCAAAAACTTTATTAATAACATACATATTTGCCAAGAATAGTTTAATTAAGAAATAGAACACCTCACCAACCCATTAGAAACAAGGCACGTATACTACATTTGCATACATACATACAACGTTTTTTCCATACAAATTCAATCTTAATTCTTCCTATGAAAAAAGTGCAACTTGGGTATTGGTATTACTGTCAATGTTACGGCGTGTGCAGGAGTAATTTCGAAAAGGTCACAACTTTGAAGAGATGTGCCTGTTTCGAATTAGTTGCTTATTTAAAAATTGCAAGTATTTCAATTATGTGAAATAAAAACAATTTGCTAAAAGTGAAATTTTGTTTCCAAAAAAAAAATAAAATCAATTTATTTGTTTAAAATGAAAAGTGGCCAACGGCGCGTGGCGACGCGTGGTGCCCCGTGATGTTATGCACTTTTGAAGCTGTATACTACATACAATTCATAGTATGTAGTATGTTAGCAGTGTATTTTTTCAATATTTTTTTGATGGAGCAATAACTTCCATTTCGCATCCAAAATGGTAATTTGCATTGTCTATGGACGATAAGAAATATTGTCCAAGGATGTTATTTCCACTGCGCCTATTACACGTCACCGTAAAGCTTGCATGATTTTTAACATTCCTGACATTAAATCACTCTTAAATTATGTATTAATGTCAAGGATATTAATTCCATTGACATTATTGCACGTCACCAAGAGTAAAATATATGCACATACAGTCAGTCAATTAAGTTTAAGTACAGCGAATTTTTTACAATACGGGCAACTATTTTTTAAATATTTTATTTTTCGCTTTTTTTTATAAAAATATGGTGGTGACTAATAATTACCATAATAATAATAATAATAATAATAACCACATCTCGAAAATCCCGGGATCGTAAAAACCGAAAAAATCAACATCCCTATTCCATTTAGATAAGAAACAAATAAGAAACGTTTCTGTAATTGATGACCTAACTAATTTACATAATATTACACTTAAGTCATCCATGTAAGTGCACTTTTGTACACCTGAACGAGGTGCTTGCATACTAGCTACACGCTGCCATATGTATTACGAAAATCACCTATGTATACATATGATGATAAAGGCAAGGGAATACGCAAGTGACATCATAAATTTAAAAATGTGTCAATATTTTCATTTATGCCATACTCATAGGTATCGTCGCTACATATTTAAGAGCACATATTTGGAACACCTACATACCTCAACGACACTACTGCAGCGCACTTCTTGTATATTTGTATGTATGTAAACCTGTGTAGATATATGTAGGTACATATAAATATGTACATACATAGGCAAGCGATAGGAATGGCCGCTACAATGAGCTTGTGACGCTTCATCGCAGTTGATGCTAGATTACAAAATTGCCAC